GCTGGCTAGGGCTGACATTTTATCAGAAAGCTCATATGAGGAAGGCTCCATTTGCAAGTTCATGAAGTGGTGGTTGGAAGGATTCAGATCTTTGAGGGATTTTGGACTAAGGGCTTCATTTTTCTAGCTGACTTTTCCTTGCCTGGGCATCTCCAGCATGGCACTGGGTTTCATCAAAGTCAACAAGGAAGAAAGTCTGCTATGAAGATGGAAGTCAGAATCTTTTGTAATCTAACCCAGAAATCACATCCCCTCAACTTTGAGGTATTCTACATTGAGAAACAAGTTACTGCCTATGACAAGATTATATAATGCTATGAATCTCAGGAAGCAAAGGTCATTTGGAGTCATCTTAGAAGCTACCTACCACAGGGACCTGGTACAGAATAAGTACCAATACATGCTAGCTTGTGTTATTTTGTCACTTATTGTCCAATGAGGAGTTGTTGAATTGTACCATGGAAAGGGAAACAGGAGGCACTCTGGAAGCACAGAACCTGGGATGAAAATTTAAGCAAGGACTTCTTGAGTAAGTGATATGTAAGCTAAGATTCAAAAGATGAGTGAGGAATCATTAAGCAAAATGAGGGAAAACACTACTGAGGCAAATGGAAGAGCAAGCGTGAAGACCTTAAGGCAGAACAATGAGGCTGGTATATTTGAAGCACTTGGAGAGAACTGGTTCTGCTAGATCATGAAGAGATCACACATAGACAAGGATCAGGTTGCTGAAAGTTGCTGTAAGCCGGACAAGGTTTGGGGATCTTATCCTGAGAAAATGGAAAGCTTTTGAATTTCCTGGAGGAGAATTACATGATCCCATTTGAAAATATCAGTCTGGTTATACTGTGTAGAAAATGGACTACAGACAGGTAAGAGTGGACACAGGAAGACCATTTAGGATGATTTCACACTGGTCCTGGTGAGAGGTGGTGATGTGTTGGGCCAGAATGAAAGCAGTGGGAGAGAAACTACAGATTTGTAATAACAGGATGTGGCGATTAAGCAGATGTGGACATGGGAGTACAGGGTAGTGAGGAAGAAGTAAATGATGGTCCCAGATTTACCCTTTAAGGAACAGGGTAAGTGATGGTTTATTTATTATCAAGGGGATTATTATGGGAAGAACATGTTTTGGGGAAAAGGATGCCTTTAATCTTGGAAATAAGGAGTTTAAGGAGCCTGTGAGACATTTAAGAGTGTATGAGTTCATCTGCCAGATGCAGTGTTAAGGACAGAAGAGAGTTTAGGACAGCTCTGAAGCATTTGATATTCAAGAGCTGGCTAGAAGGCTTTCCTTTAGGAAAAGAGAATGAGGTGACACAACCAGGGCATCTGGAGAAAAATCAAAACCAATGGGAAAAGAACATTTTTAGTAGGAATGATTGGTCAGCTGTATGGAACACTTCTGAAAGGTCAAGCACTGGCACATGACCAAAAAAAAACCTAGTGACTCTGGGTTATTTATGACTTAGATCAACCCACTTTGGTTAAAGGGCAGAAAGCGAAGCCTGGCTGGGTTAAGCTGAAGGGGAAATGGGAAGCAACAGGACAGAGCAGCAAGAGTAGATACATATAACACATCGGAGAAGTTTGCCTACAAAGAAGTGGCGAGATATATGACATTAACTAAATCAAAACTTTTGTTTATTGTATTTGTTTTAAATAGGATATTTTGAGTACCATCAGTGGTGGAATTTGGCTGGCAGATATGGAGGGGTAGACACAGGTGAGTGGGAAGAACTGATAAAGAAAGGTTCCTGAACTGTTTCTGTAATCAAAAGCACTAGTAGAGGGGCCAGGTTTAGAAGGAGGGCTGTTCTATTTTAACAACTCAAAGAAGAACAGTTGGAGACTTCTTCCAGTTAAATTTGAAGATTTGTGGTTGGAATATTAAGTGCATTCTGATGGAATGGCTTCTAGTGCCTTTTTAATAAACCTTTTTCCTTCAAATGTTTAGTAGCCAAGCACTCAAAATTCAAGCACTCTAAGTGTGCTTTTAGACCAGCAATGCCAGCATTACCCGTGAGCTTATTAGAAAATCAGATCTTGGGCCCTCTCCAGACATACCTTATCAGAATTGATTTTGAACAGGATCCAGAGGTAATTCCTGCATACACTGAAGTTTGAGAAACAGCATTCTAATGGGCTTTCTTGTGGTTGTATGAACTGAGAAACTGCTAGATTATCAGAGCTATCATCTACAGCAGATGGGTGTGTTTTGAGGACCATGGATTATTGTCCAACTGTTCTTTCAGCTATAGAAGCTTTTTGAAAAGACACTTGTTTTTGCTAGAGAATCCAGGTGAATTGCTATAAGAAACAACTAGAATAAGCAAAAAGCAAAATATCACATATTTTCCATCTTTGTATTTTACTATATTGTTTTTTATTCAACAAATATTTATTGAGTACTTACTATATGCTAGGCATTGTCTTGGTTCTGGGGTTTCAGTCATTAACAAGAAGTTCCTGCCCTCAGGACCTCATTTCCCTTATTTACCTCACTTTTCTGTCTTCCACATAGTACTTCTTGGTATACATCCTAAACTCGCTTGTCCTCTAACTTCATCTTATTCAGTAGTCATTCATTCATTTACTCATTTACTTGTCCAGTTAGTAACCAATTATTTATCATCTACTATGTGCCAGGCACTGTTTTAGGCATTTGGGATTCATCAGTGATCAAAATAGATAAAGATCCCTGTCCTCATGGAGCTGATATTTGAGCTGATCTCTGGCAGAGGGTAGGAGGATGTTGCTGAAGGAGAGATGGACACTAACAATAAAAACAAATAAATTGCCCACCTTGCAAATCCCTTCTCCAGTTAAATCCAACTCTCTGGTTTCTCTGCAGCTGAATTTGGCTTAAGAGAAACATACCAGCATGCTGACAGTTCTCAGACCAACATGGCCATTATCCTCAAGTGGGCCTCCTATCTTGCCTTGTAATTCAGGCCATGTTCTCCTTCACTCTTCTAGCCAATTCGATACATTTTCCTCCTCAAACCATTGATACCGCCTACTCAACCCTAGATTTTGCTAATAGCTCATCTAATATTTTAAATTGTTTTATGAAACTCTAAAATCTGCTGAGGTTATACTCCCCAAGTTCCAGAACATTCTTTCTAAAATGTCAATCTCATCATGGCACACTTTTTAAAAACATAAACTTAATAAGTAGGTCCCCATTGCTTTAAGGATAAGAATCAAATTTCTAACTGTACATTATAGCCTATTGTCTGGGCTCCTTTTCCACCCATGTTTCATAACCCCTGTATTTCCAGCATATTGACCATAGCAGTAGTTGAATGCTTGCATAGGGGAGCTACTCTGTAAATGTGTTTTTGATTGAAGTATTTCTTAGATTTTCCATTTTTGCCATTTATTCCTCCAATTGTGTTCATAACATTGCCTCAAATAATATTTTATTGAAAGCAGTTACCAGTGTTGTTCCAGTAAAACTGAAACTAATAATCTTGAACCCTTCAAGGCAATAGTGTTGGGGCTAACACCTACTTTTTTGAAGGCCCTTTCCATCGTCATTTATCATTTTCATAAACACTGAGATAAAGCTGATTTTTATCATAGTAAGAATAGAGTTGAATGCTCTGGGCTTTCACTGGAGTTGAGGAGGTGGAACAAGAAGGATCACTTGGGAGTCACCCTTCATTAGCTTTATATAAACCATATAATTAAAACTCCTCTGATTTACTTCTGACACATTCTGGGCTGGAGATCTATGGGTGGAAGCAAGGAACTTAAAAAAAAAGGTTTTCCCTTCTAAAAAGCTGGTTGTAATTCAAATAGAAGTGGTAACTAAGATGCTATCCAATGAACTGAGAGGTGTCAGGGGAACTAGAAGCCAATACATAGTCTCAGAGTTGGAAAAATATCAGAGATGATCCAGTATAACTGTCCAGGAAAGAGCAAGAGTTTCTTTTATGTCACCTGAGTCCCATAGCTTCTTTTACTTCCATCCCTGGCTTCTTTTCATCATTAGAACCCACTTGTCATCAGAGTTTTCCTTCTTTCTTTTTAATTAGTTCCCTGGAATTTCTACCCATTGGGCTAAATTTTTGACACCTTAAGATACAAAAATGTTAAATGAATCTCCTTGCTGCACTATAGCCTCCAAAACACTAGCACCCAGGAGTCTCATGTGTTCTAATTCCTCTCTTAGTCCTACCGTTCTGCAGGTGGTCCCAATATGCACAGCTCTGAAGTTCTCTTCAATCCAGCCACCCCCTTCAGGGTGCAGGATAAGTTCTCAGTTTGCCACGGCATCAAAGCAATGCTTAACATGTGATCTGACTAATGAAGAATAACCAGAACATTTATTTTCCATGATCTATGTTTCTATTATTGCAGCCTAATATCAGGTTGACTTGTTTAGCAGCCATTTTGCACTCTTGGTGCCTATTAAAAGCTTGTGGTAAATTATAATCCTCTGAATTTTTTTTCACATGAGTGTTGCCAAAATAGGTAGTATCCCAGCCTGCATGTGCACTAGAGTATGTATTAATCCTAGACTCCCTATGAATCACTGGATAATCAAGGACTGGTCATGAACTTCACTCTACTGAACTAGACGTTGACTCTAATAATGCTAGCGCCATATGTGAGGTGCTGTAGAAAGCACCTTGTCGTCCTAAACACCTGCTCTTCTATTTATAAACTCAGCCTTCCCAAAGGGCCTGGGGGACCAGGCTCTTTACTTTTCTAGAGGCTAATTTTTATCTACAACCTTCTCTTCCTTTTACTAAGTACATGCATTCTAATCCCCACTCCCAACAATTAAACACCCACCTAATTAATTTTCCTTCCTCACATCCAGGTTGACTGAGCTCTTGATTTTAAAAAATAAAAAATTTTAAAAAAGCAAAAAAAAAAAAACTAGGCAGGTCAAGAAACCCAACCCCTCTCCTCTAACCAGAGCTCCTCCTTCTGCCCTGGGGTGTCCTGGAACTGAAGGCCAAAGAGGGAGAGGAGGACTCACACTGCTTCTGGGCGACAGCGCAGGCTCAGCTGCTCTAGCCAGTGGGACTGCAAAGGGTCACTCTAAAAATTGCTGCTGGGACTTGTCAGGTGGCTGCTGGTGGCTCCCCACAGGATTTTCCTTCTCTCTCTCCTCTCCACAGATTGCTTCCCAAGAGGAGTCTGCTGCTGCCACTTCATCATCACAAGTCGGGGACACACTCAACACAGAAGGGTAAGGAGCTTGGGCCACACTCTGCAATTCCTGTCTTCTAGATCCTGGGGTGTGTATGGCTCTGTGGGAGGGAGAGGGCGGCGAGTCTGAGTGTTCGCAGAGCCATTTCACTGAAGGCATGTGCAGCTGGGTCAGATTGCTCCTGCCCTTGATATGAATTGGGGAGCCAGAACCATTTTCTTGAAATCAAAGGAAGGTGATGTGATTAGGTGAATATTATACATTGTCATAGAAATTCATGAGTGGGTGTTTTAAAAAAGTAAAATTATTTGTAATTGCTAACAGTGATTTTAAGTCTCCAAAGTTTAATGTACACTTTTCTTCCTCTATTTTGTAGCAAAGAGAGGGGAATTTCTTCTCTATTGTGATCAGGAACCATATAAACATTTGGTACCCAATAACTTTAGATAAGATGTAATTAGTTTTAATGAAATTGGTAGTAAAAAAAAATCAGAGAACTCTTTAAATTCCCAGAAATACAACCTATTGACAAAACAGAAAACTCCCCTTTGTAATTTACAAACTATAAAACAAGTTTGTATTCTAAATGTGTACTTATGTTTATAGGAACATAATATTTTATATTAGAAATCGTGTTGGAAAAGAAACAGTAAAGTGGACCCCCCCCTTACACTGGACTTAACTTAAAATGGCAAGCTGCAGAGCGGAGTGTTTCTATTCTGGGAGTCAGAGCTGATGAGCCCTGACAGATGCAGTGCCTGGAATGTGGCAGGGACAGGGAGCCCTCGCAGCTGATTTGCCCCTTTGGCAGGAAGACATTCTGGGATCCCAGCTCATTCTGGCATGGAAGTGACAGTGACACTTCAGCACACATGGCTTTTCAGCTTGCCCTGTGTAGTGTCTCCCAGGAGGCAAGGGTGGACAGCAGCAGGAGAAAGAATGTTCTTAAATATAAAGGGACAATTCTTCTCTATAATCAGTCCTAGGAGCTTTTCACCTGAGATCTGTTTCAGGCCTGGGGGAACTTGATGTAAACGTGATGCTTTCTCACGGACTTGCCCACTCATAGAAGAAGGTAGAATTACGTTACTGTTTCAGTCCAATAGTTCTGGATCTGTTTAGGGTTATGGACCTTTGAGAACCTCATGAAAGCTCTGGGTCCACTCTACAAAAAATGCGCATAAACACACATGCACAACATGTTTCACAGTATTCCAGAAAATGTCGTAGAATTCATGGATTTTCCAACCCAGAAGGAGTTTGCTAGATTAAATACAGGACACCCAGGTACATTTGAATTTCAGATGAATCACAAACCTGTCTTTAGTATAAGTATATCCCAAATATTGCATGGGATATACTGATACTAAAATATGATTTGTGGTTTATCTGAAATTCAAATTTAACTGGATATCTTGTATTTTTATTTGCTAAATCTGGCAACCCAGACTCAGGAGCATAACTTTCCTGTCTCATCTGGTTTATCCATGTCTGGTCATGAGTTGATTACTGGGATCTAAAAGGCCGCATTGTGGAGGAAAGTGATACAGGACCAGACTTTGACAGTTCTGATAGAAAAAACCAGCTGTTTGTTCTGAACTCTATAAAATTTTAGTACTGAAAGGTACACATCTCCTCATTTGACAGGTGATAATCCTAAAAAATTGAATGTTACTACAGGTCCACCAGCTGGTTAGAGCGAAAGGAAAACTAAAGCCCAATTGCTAGTTCTGTGACAACCAAGGAGACAGTAGTCTTAAAATCTAGATTTCCAATCCTCCTTCTCACTCACCCTCAACCTGCTAACCACCCCCCCCCCACCCACCTTAACACACACACAGCAGACTAGGAAAGAGAATACTATTTTAGTAAAATTTTCAACTAAACCAAAACTAAAAATTTTTAGCAGTGGGTCCTTGCCTCCTGTATCCAGGGTTGGGAAATAGATGTTAACTCAATGTATAGTCTGTATACTTTATTGATAAAAGTCAGGCACTGGCCTCTAGCTAAGTTGAAATATAAGAAATGGATAACAGTTGTCTTTAAACAAAAATTGATAATTACATATCCAGCCTAGCACTTACAAGGAAGTATTTGATTCTCTGGTCAACAAACTCAAGCAAGACCTCCTTGAACCCATTTCTATTTTTGGCTTACTGATTTATTAGAGTTTCATATCTTTACTATCCTAACTGGATCAAGAAAGCCATGAACTCTGTTTATCCCCAAATAAATTATCTTACATTTAAAAGATCAACTCTTTCCTCTCAAATTTTACAAAGTTTAAAACTGATACAAATTTTTAACCTACCCTGGATTTAAAGGAGACCATATAGGAAGTTGGGATTCATTCTGGGTTTGATTATGACCTTGTATGACCTTGGTTAAGTTTTTAAAATTCCCTCTGAATCTTAATTTCTCCATTTGTAAAATGAACTTAATATAACCTACATTTTAGAATGTTAGTGATGCTTAATTTTTTTAACAAATCATGTAAAATACCCAGGGCTTAGCACACAGTAAGACCCCAATTAATAAATGCTAGCTATATAATTATTACTTTAGGTAGAAGTTTATATTTGATACATAATATGGACTCATGCTTGGTGGATTATATTTAAGAATTACTTATTAAATTTATTGTATGCTTAAATTTGGAAAATACAAAGTATGATGAAAAATGTGATGAATCACATAACTGCCTAGCTGTTTATTAGGTGTTGAATACATGACACTGTTGCCATAGAAACAACACAAAAGCCAAGATCTGCAGTAGGCAGTGGGAGGAGAGCATGGAATTGCTTCTCTGTAACTTTCTGCCCAGTTTCTAATGGAGGAGACCCAAGAAGCTGCTTTGGGGGTAGTGGATAGAGCAGAGATGGGAGGAGGCGGTGGTGTCCATGACCAAAGAGGAGAATTCTCTGGGTGACCACCACAGAATGAAGAAGTAGCTCTGGTAGCATAGGGAGCCTTCTACCCCTCACTGCACCCTGTGTAAAGTCTCTTCTTTCACCCAAAAAAGGGAAGGGACAGGAAGGGACTGGAAATATCTCCAATGGCTGCTTATCCCATTACACAACCTCAGCTGCTATGGCTAGACCTCCTCTTTCCACCATGCCCTACTATGGTAGGGTCCCTGTGAAAAGTGCAAACTGCTAATAGTCTGGGGTGGGAAAGGGGGAGAGGAAAGTTCTGCAGAGATATTCCCTTTGACTTCAAGGGACAACTCATTAAAGCCCCCATGGGTTAGGAAGGAAAATCAAGCCCTTTGTGCTTTAGAAAAAAAACAGAGAAACAATCTTAAAACCCTCCCAGCCACAGGCAACTCAGCAAGGCTGTAAAGCTGTGCTCCATGCTATCTGGACCAATCATAACTCCAGTCACAGCCAGTTCTTGCTGTATGGTAACCATGGTGATTGCTTCCCCTCCACCAGGCCTGGCCACGAGTCACTCACCTGTAAATAAATAAATAAATAAGCAAGCTTTAAAAAAAAACAAGTGTTAATTAAAACTTCCAACTTTGAGTTAATATATCATTGAATCAATAAGAATGAAATGCTTTCAAGTTTTATTACTCAATGTCTAAGCTATACTCTAAAAATTATATAAAAACATAATATGCAACTCATTTTTGTAACCTATTTCTTCCAGCCACGTTTTGACTGTCCTTGTGACCACCTCATTAGTGAACACTAATAATATGACCCATGGGTACATAATGAGCATTTGTATAATTGTAGGAAAAACAGTGAGAGTTCCTGTACAAATTGCTTTTGACTACATGCTCACATATAACCTAATGACTGAGTAATACATTTTTGTAAATACTCATTTTTTTTCTAATTGCCCTCTATTAGCTCATGCAGTCAGCCTCAAAGCCCAGCATCATCACCAAATGAGTAAATGGAAGTTAATTAAACTTAACTCCTTATTCTCCTTAACTTTTACACATCTACTTTTAGGCTGCCCTTTTCCAAGTCCTTCCTTTTAAGGTTGCCCTTGTTCTGCATTTAAATGTGATTGTGGGAAAATGGTGGTTGATCAAGCGACATGGTGAATATAAATGTGTGTGTGTGCATGCATGCATGCGTGTGTGTGTGTACTGAGTGTGACACGCCTGTATTTGTACTCTCCAAAAAGATCCCAATGTGAGAGGCCCAGAGAACTATTGAAGGCTTCCCTGTGTGCTAGTGAGAACTGAGCCTTGGGTTTATGATCCCCCATAATAAAGAAGGTAGTCTTCTCTGCAATAGGGCCTGGAGCACACAAGGTAGCTGCCCTTATCATTCTTACAGCCCGGCTTGCAGTCCTCTTTCAACTGAGAAAAGCAGTGGCAGGATCCCCAAGCAGGGCTGGTGGAAACGGAAGAGCAGGGCCAGTGGTAGAGCACTGACTGGGCTATCGGAGCCAGTGAACATCTCTGCAGCCTAGAGGACATCAGAGCTTTGCCCAGCTTCGAAGAGGGGGCCCTGATCCTCAGACTCCTCTGAGGAGTCTGCAGTGACCTTTTTGGAGAAACATGGCACAGACTGAGAACACCTGGGCAGGTGGATGAACAGCCTCGCCTTCAAGGTGCTAGCCTAGGACTGGAATGTCATGGCAGCTCTAGTAAAGAAAGACAATTTCTGAGCCTATCTGGGAAAACAACCATTGGGAAAGGAAGTTGTCCACAGGCTGTGATTTCAGTAGTCTCTCTAGTTTTTATTTTTGTACTTCAAATAAATTTATTTTACAAAGTGTTTGAGATCATACCTCACTTCTACTTATGGTGATTAATTAAAAATTAATCTAGAATCTGAAGTTGGTTAGGTTAGAACCTCACATCCTACTTACTCCTTTTATGTTTTATTTTTATGATGATAGAGCAAGGTCTTTTCATGGTTTAATTGAATTTACTGGGGTTACACTGGTCAATAAAATTACATAGTTTCAGGTGTACCATTCTGTAACACCTCATCTTTACATTACATTGTGTGTCCACCATCCCAAGTCCAGTCTCCTTCTGGCGCAACAGTCTCCTGCCAATTTTCCTCCCTCCA